AAATAAGTTAGTGGTTTCCTTACCGCACCTATTTCTTCACCCAAAACGGCTGTTATTGAGGTCAGCAACATCGAGATTTGTTGTTGTGCAATTGCCAAAATCCACCCTCAACGCGCACGTTTACGCTCCAGCCGGCGTGAACGGTAACATTAAATTACACGCTCTTGAATACAACAACAATAACAAGGCAGCGGATTAATTCAGGTCTGAAAGCTGAGCGAGTTGGTGAGATTTCTCAGCGAGTAAATATGATTAACTAATCTTAATCTCAACCCGTAATAAACGGGCGAGCGAGTAAAATAACACGAAATGCAAAACTCTCAAATCGTCTGGCACAAAACGTGCCGAGTGCAGCGTTTGTGTCGCTGTGAGTGCAATTAAAACGAGCCGTGTTTATATTATAAACATTGCAAATCGTTCACATGTGCCCCACTCGTATTTTTGCATCAGTTTAAGTGCGAGTGCTAAAAGAGGTGTTGGCAAAGGCGCCGGCCGTAATATCTTAATGCCGAAACGGTTAGCGACACAAGCCGCCGCGTATCCCAATGTTTGAATATATTAAAACGGTTATGAGCGTCTAGACGTCCTAATTTTCCGCCGCAGTCCGCCTCCACGGTGCGGGTCGAAAGTTTAAATCCGACTATACCTTGGCTCCAGTTGTACACCGCGTGTCCGCGCGTGCGAGTATTAAGCCACCGGGCGCAGGGGGCATTCTCAAACGCCGAGTTACTTCTCGCAATTTCGCTCGTTAGCCGCGTTTCTGGATGCAGCGCGCGCAAATGCACACATTCGCCGCCGCCGCCGCTGTCTTGCAATAGATATGCGGCTTAATGCGGGTAGCTCGCCTGGTTTATGGCGGTGCCGATGTTATGTTCGGCAATAAAATGCGCCACCGTCGCGGTAGTGGTGGGTACCACATGCATCGTGCCATGTATTACACAACAGCCGGCGAAATGCGCGCTGGGCGATTGCATCTCTTGCTGCAATTTGCTCTGCGTTACGTCACTTCTCAGACGAAACTGCCGAGTAATGGCTTGATGAGTATACGTGTGAGAGAATTACAATCGAAATTCAGTGACTTTCAAATTGACAAAAATTTGCTTTTCGTATAATCAGGCAGATTAAATAAATCAATATTAATTCCATCAAACTACAACGGCGTAATTGCTTCAAAAATGTACTAATGAAATTGGCACAGTTGCCTGTAAATAGTCGTGCTCATTTTTGATAAATCGGATAGAATTAAATCTAATCCTTTTGGACAGCAATGCATTGCATCCGGCAAATGAAATATTTCGACAATTTGTTGTAGATCCCTCCGTACAAGCGCTTTAATTGCGCACAATTTATTCACTTCTTTTCGCGCGCGAATTTTTCGCAATTTGTCAGGCATTACGTGATAGAAATGAAAATAGAAATTACACGACTTTTGAATAAATGCGTCCTCCCACGTGTTTTTGGAAAGCCGTCGCTCTCCCCATCTAATTTGAATGTTGCACCTTAGGGTACGAAAAAAAATATGATCGATGTGTTGTTTTCGCCGCGCGCTTTGTGCCATTGCACGCCGGCGGGCGCGTCCTTGATAAAAGGTGCAAACCGCGCCACCAGATGCGCGTGTGTAGTTCAAGCATCAGTAGCTACCCCCACGGCAGGTCCTTGCCGCACGGTGAGTTTTCGGTGCGAGCGTATTTATGAGCTTATTCAATCCGTTGGCAGTTCGACAGCGGAATGAAGGATGGTGGCTTGTCTGAGGTTCGCTACAATTAATCAGCATCAGCGTCTAGTTAAATGATAGGGTGGCTCGCGGCCGGCGCCCGGTCCCGGACGCGGCCCCCAGGATGAACAAATGACGGCACGTCCTAATGAATATGAAGTCTGGTGCGCGCGCCGACGAGGATCGCCGGCGGGCGTCCGTCGCTCTTCCGTCCGCGACAACTTCGTGATTAAATAACTTCATAACATTATTCACACCACTCAGCGATGAGCGCGCGTGTACCGCGCAGCTTCCCATGGTCGCGCGTGGTCTGAGCGACAACTTCCGCGCTTACATCTCGGTATAAGCGATCGCAATTCATCACGACCGCAAGACGCCACTCCAGCGCTTGTACGAAGGCGAGATGCGGCTAGATCTGCAGGGATGTGGTGGAGTGGCAACAAGATGAGGCAAGATGTGCGCCACAGACGCCAGGACACGATTACTTCAAGGCACGGGCACTTGAAATAATTTCGCCTGCGTCGTGAAACTTGCTTTTAAGAAATAAATAAAATTGAAAATTGAACGTGCAAAGTTTCCTCGAGTTGAAAAGTGCTGTATAAGTAAAAAGAACTCACTACCGTAGGTTGTAAGGAAAATGGGCAAAGTGGTGTACCAAAATGTGCACAAGAAAAAACGTAAAACTAATCTCTGTTACTTCCGGCGACGATACAGTTCTATCGCACGACTGTGAAACGCCCATTAGGAGGTAACTTTTCCAAATCCCGTTTAAATAATTCTCCGACTCCGCCATGCTCGAAACGACCGCACTCATTCACCTGTTAAGGAGGGCTCAGTTAAAACAGCCCTAACGATTTCAGCGTGTCTCTAATGCTGCAAAACGAGGAGAATGGAAGAAAAGTCTAAGATTGCCCTCCATCCCGTGTCAAAAACACATGCGCAGGCGTTTGTTTCTTTCCCTTTTCTTTGCACCCCAGCAGGCGCTGGGTATCCCCAAGGCCCTATCGCAACTTGGTAATTAACACGCGAGAGCGAGGCAAACTAATTGCCGTCGACAAGTCTTCCAAGATTGTTAAGTGAATATTAACCTCCCCTATGGTCAGTCGGGCGACTATGGAGATAAGGTCGGCAAATTCGTGCCGAAGACGGAACCCACATCAGTCCGTCGCTCAACTTGTTAATGGATGTTAATTAAGTTAGAACAACTGCATTCACCAAAATCATGTCGCAAAGGAAACCTCACGCCAAGTCAGCGTCATTCAATAATAACATGCGCATCTACATCAAGCGGCGACGGAATTTACACTTGAATCTTGGCCGAGTTACAAACTTGAAAGCAAAAAATCTCCGATCCAGGAAGTAATAAACACGCAGACAGAGGAAGAATCGAAAGATTCAAGCGAAGAAAAACATAAGGATGTGGACTTATGTTGAATCGTGGTGTGGTGTTTCCCCGGAACAAACTGTAGGGAAATTAAAAAGCGCTCGGCGATATCTAGAAATGATTTATGTCGACTTGGTGTCGGCGTAATAAATCGCGTGAGGGATTTTCCACTTGGCCGTCGCAGTGTTGAACACTTTCCAGTAAGATCCGACGGCGGGCTGATTTATTTGGCAGGTTTTTAGAACCGCAACATTTCTCTCTTACTCAATACGTCTGCAGCCAAACCCTTGCTCCACATATGAACAAACCACACATACGTGCGGCACGCATATCATAGCGGTTTAGGTAACGCTTTTCGACAAGCGACCTGATTAGCCAACTATAAACACCCGACAAAACCATGCGTTTATCGAAACCCTTTGAAATATTTTCAAAAAAAACCTGCTTGTCAACCTAAATAAATTTATATTGTAACCATCTTCAATGAAGTTATTTCATGTTGTGTTTGGCAGAAATGCAAAGGTTGACACGCAGAAAAAGGTAAAAACAAAATCTGTCGGTATCCCGCGTAGGAAAAGCTCAAATTTATTTAGTAAAAAGCCAAGTTGCACGGTCGGCGTTCCTGTCCCGCGTCGCGACGCAACACGACCGACGGCGGTCGAGCGGGCCGATTCAAAAACTTTTCTAAAGCGGCTATTAATCAAGCCAATACTGATTCGGGCGCGCGCGTTGTAAGCCCCTCTCGTGCGCGCCACGCAAACCGCCCGAATACAAAAGAAGCGAACGGCAGTCGAAGCATATGAAGCGCGGGCGGGCTGCCGAAGGGGCGGTTGGGACTTATTCGGACGAACCTTTCGAATGCGACCGGGTGTGTGCGGGTACGGGCGCGCGCGTGCTTTCGAAATTTGTCGGTTTAAACTCGGCGGGTCGTATCTAGACTGGTCGCGTGATTTCTTACCGGAAACATAGCCGATACACGAACATTTATCTCCGCGCCCGGCCTTGACGCACGCTTTGCTTTATAGTCCTTTTCACGCCGTCAGGCCACGACACGACCAACATGCGCTCACAAATTTTATCTCGAATTCCTCTATTATCCAACATTTGTTCGATTTTGCTAGCGCCATGGGCAACCCCATTACAAATGGAATATAAGGAATTGCAGCGAGAAGAGGGCTGCAAGTGCTGTTTTGATGCATTTTCTGTACAAAAGCCACGCGTATACAGATTGTATCAACATTTTCTTTATGCCAAGCAGTGCAATTAGCTAGCTCTTTTCTTCAGATACACTTTTCAAATAGAGCGCTTGTAATTTCAAAGAAGAACTTGTTTTGCACGAAAAGGCAGGAACACACTCAAACTGGTTCGTGTTTACTTTCCAATCGCTACTGCTGTTTGAAAAGGCCAGCGTGTTTGTAATCGTCTTAGTCTATACGCTATCACGATACAAGCAAGCACTACACGCGCGTCTTTCTGTTGAGAGATTTATTTTGCTTTTAGTTGTTTTCCGTTAGTGCTTTTTAGCAAACGTGTATGAAATGATAAAATGCGCGCCGTGATCGCTCTTATTATTCGATATGTTTTGTAAGTATAATGGAATACACATAATAGCGAATTTAAAATATACAAAAGTGGACGATAAATTCTTATTCAAGCTGACTGCTGTTCTTTTGGAACTTGAGATGTTGGCGCATAGTTTTGTATCGATTTATAGATTGTGCATTTTTAATGTCTGATGCTTTCAACAAGATTTAATTATGCATGAAGAAACGTGAATAAACGAAAAGTTTTCTTCGCAAAAGTTTCAACCTTGAAGTCTTCATTAAAATGTAATACAACGGAATAATCGTGTTCACCTTTATCAATAATAATCATTTCAAGGAAATATAAATTTTGACTTACCGTATGTTGTCAGCTTGATGATTTGAACGACATCGCAGTTCTCGCGTACATCCAAATACGTTATTTCACATTTGTAACTCGCTTCGTCTGTTACTTCCAACGAAGAAATCTTCAAGAAAGCCTCAGACGTCGATGTAGAATATTCCACGGTCATTCTGCAACAAAACAAAAACGTTAAATGTCTGCAATTGATCCACCCCTAGAGGAAACTTCATTATCAGCTATAGGATGATTGAATAATTGAAGTTTTAATCGAGTAAGATAAATAGAAATACTTTATAGTCTCTTATAGTCTCCAACCCTAACTGCATCTGTAAAAGATGTGACGGTAATAGATAAATCTTATCCCCTCGCAGATTCAACTTTAATACCCCTCTAGATATCAGGATAAAGAAGGAAAAGGGTTGATTTAACCATTGCACTTAGTCGGAGAGAACTAATACGAAATTGAGCATTTGAAAGTGCTGCGCTTGTCAGCAAAATAGCATCTCCTTAAGAATGCAAAGCGGCCCTCGACCGCATCAACCGATTCGCACGAGTATTTCAACCAATGCCAAATTTCCTCGTCTGGAGAGGTGATTGCCACTAATTGTCGCTAAGCGCACAGGCGGGCCGAGTTTGCGAAAGAGATGCGCGAAAGTGGCTCCCGGCGATACTTGCGTCTGACGTGTTCCATCTCTTGCGACGGCATATATAATTTAGTCTCTAGTTAACTAAATAGTGAATCGGATCTGCGGCGTCCTCGCCGCCAGCTCCAGCGTTTCGTACAAATGAATATGTGACAGCACTTCGGATTATAAATGATTCAGCATGTAGCGACGGCACGGCGAAAGAGGTGCGATGACGATGCGAGTAAGAAGAAGTAGTGTGTGCGCGTAGCGTGGAGAGGTGGAGGCGCCGCGTCCTGACAGGAAGGTTGACGAGTAATTCGCACACATTCGTTTCGCTTTATTTTCGATAATGTTTGAGGACTAACGATGTGCGCCAAGACTATGCGAGGTATACGAGGCGAGAGCGACGAGAGCTTGTTTCCGAACTAATTTAGCGAAAACGCGTCGACATAATTACGTTTAGTGCCTGTAGATTAGTTGCTAAATGTATCTTCATCGTCATCCTGAACGTACGTTTTATTTTGTTAACACGAAAACATGTATTAAGTAATATCAAGTCACGAACACAAAAACTCATTATCGTTATTAATTTCCACAATAAATGAGCGTATTAATAAAAGTATAAATTTACATTTTTAACGTGAGTCGGTATAATTTTCTATAGTAACTCTTAACCTACTAGTGATTTCGATTTATTGCCACAAAGTTTTGGAATTTCCTATAACCGTAAATTGTTCTATAAAATCCACATGTGGACAACTGAGAATAAAAAATGTTTGCTTTTAAGGACAGGATTGTTAATGGGTCAGCGAAGGTAAAGCCAACCGAAGGGGAGAAAACCAATGTTTGCCCGCTGGACTTGCCGATCTGACCCTATAGTCGGACTATGCGTTGCGAATTCGAGAAACTCGATCGATTATGAGGATTTATTGATGTCAAAGTCAGATCGTCCAGATAGAATCATTTACCTTTTCTTTTCACTCTCGCCTTTCACTTGTGCGGCTGGCGTTTGGCGTTTCCTACACTTTAACAAGTCCATCAGCGAATGCGTCCAGCCGTGAGTAAACACCCACGCCAAGAAAGTCGAGAAAATTAAATAAACCAAATGCGTTCAGAGTCACATGCTAACGAAAACATGTTTCTTCTGCGTGCCTTGCGAATATCTTGTTTACGTGCAAAATTGACTTTTTTCCCCTTCCAAATCGAGCATATCGCTTCATTAATCATCCACCGCCGCCGACCAAATCACGCAAACACGCGTTTTTTACAATCTCAATTTACTCTTTCGTTTCAGATGCGTGCACGTCAGAGAAGCAACTCCTGCTCTACCTTTTCGTGTGTGTGTCTGGTGCAAAATAATAAATAAACTTCCGCGCGAGCAAACTCCATTCGTTGCAAAGCCATTATTCATCACGCTGGACGATTAATTTTAATAAAGCTTACATATTGGATAGTTTCATCAGCGAGGCGGATTTATATCGATGGCCACAAACGGATAAATAGACGAGATGCAAGCGAAATGTATCGATGATGCATGCGCGAGCTCTACCAAAATGTGGGCAAGTTGTAAACATTGCAGTGCCACGCGCATCTATCATAAATTATTGCATCCGGAGAATTCGCGAGTTACTTCGAAGCGGGGCCAACCTCGAACGGCGCGTGTAATCGTTGCCACGCGCAAATTGATGACGAATGAAACGCTAGTGAGTTATTGATGAAACTTTCAATTAGACGCATGCGAACCGTGTTTGCGCTGGCATTGTTATCAACGATCTTTGTAAACTTTTACGTTTATATTAAATTGATGTGCGCTGGGTCGAAAACCATTAGTGCAGATATCATTTTTAATGTTTCAATGTATAATATCTTTCCTATAACATAACATGTCACAACTATTGTCGTTACAGATATTATTTATTATATAGTAAATGTTTTATATTTATTTTTGTCATTTGCTGTCGTAGCAAAAATTCAATCTGATTCGAAAGATAAAAATCAATTTTCTGTGTAAAATGATCACGTAATTCAAGAATCGTAAAACTAGTCGCATAGACACTAAATTACCTGACGCAATTATATTCAAACACGGCTGAAAGTACGAAAAAGAACTTAATCTATTCGTTCACTTCGTGGCGGAAGTAATGGATCTAGTAAAGATGGGGGCTGCACAGACGGTTATAATATAGAATTCGCTTCGGTGCGCCGTGCATTCAGGAGTGAATAACATTTCGAAATAGAAATAACGATCTACTTCTAACTTTCGCCATAAAATTTAACAGCAGTGAACATACCGACGTTTATGTGATATATGCAGCATGTGCGGCTCACCTAACTCGAGACGCTTCGTGCCGTACCGTTTCTTCTGTTCGTCTTTTTACGATCGCTGCAAGCGCCCGGAGTGTCAATGCGGTATGCACTTAAGCGATAGTGAGCCCGGTGACGACCTCAAAGTTCACCGAATTTCCACGGATGCATTTCGTGCAATTTCGCATTCGTGTGTTCCCGATGAATTAAAAATGTTCCAAATAAAAATCGCGGAAAAGCCCAGCAGGTATTTATAGTGTTTATAGGCAATTTTGCGTTATGCGTTCGAAAGCTCAGCCCGCAATAAGAAATAAAAATCCGAGTTTAAATTATTTCATTGTCCTGGAACACAATAGCACGGCGGGGAATGATAGCCACAGCTCGGCACCACAATCGAACTCCATAAAACATAACTTTTATTGTGACCAAAGGTATAAATACCGATAGTAAAATAGCAAATACAATATGCGTTGCAAAAAAATACCTACATGGGTACGCAGATTGGGGCTGGGTGAAGTTGAAAGGGGAGAAAAATCGGTGAATTCGGTTGGGCGCCGATTGTTTACGATCGATAAAAATTTAAGCGCCAAATTCCTATTTACGATTGCATTTGCATATTTTTGCAATTCGCGTAATTACGTCGCCGATTCCCGGCGCCTTCACCACAGCTATGCTTGTATCGTCAATTTATATTTTCTTTGCGTCGGGGTCCGTATTCGAAACGCTGAGCATGCAGGACCTGAAGACCTGCGCCTGCTTCTAATAATAAGTGCATTATTTAATGCTATAGTAACGGATGATAATAAAGCGAATAGCCGCCTTTATAACCCCCACGCGTAACGCGTGTTCCGCTGAAAAGAATAAGCAGGCAAAAAGAAGAAGTGCACGCCGACGATAAAACGAAATCAGTAGCCTGGGCGAGGAAATCTTTATGGTGCTAGAAAAACGAACGTAAAATTTACGCCACGAGTCAAGACTTCGCGCTGGCTCCGTATAAGGTATGCTAGAATGCGTTCAAATCCCAGAAACGAACAGTACTACGCTACGAAATAAATATTATTGCTAATGGGAAAGCGTGGCAAGGGGAAGCATAATAAAAATTTGTTTTCCTTTTTCGCCTAATCGCTTGTGCCTCAAAGGCAAGGGTCGGCAAATAACTTGGGGGCGACTAAAACGGTTAAATTTGCATTTTTTATTATTACTAATTTATTTTATTGCCGCTCATTCGAAAAATTTAAAAACACTCATTCGCTCCACAATCGAATATTGAAATTTAACACTCCAATTGCAAACATGTCCTTTCGCGCACCAGAGTGCTTTTACGCGCCACGATCGCACTGCTAAAACGAAAACATAAAAATTTACGATCGAAAACTTTCGAATTGTGAACTTTACTGAGCGCGCTTGAGCTGGAAGAAGAGCATGTGTTCCGCGCGTGCATATTTTTCGCGTTCGGGATCAGGACGTCGTCCTCTCGAAGGTGCCGTAGATCACACGCTCGCCGGCTATTTACCACCCACCGTCGTCGGTTATAAAGCGCCGCTGTTACCTTTTACTTTCGCGGCGCGTTTGCAAGCCGACCGCCGTCGCTACTGCCGCCACCGCCGTCTCCTCCGTACGTCAACACGGGATTTACATCAGGTGCACGCTCGTTACACGCTCCTCCAGGCTGCAAAACCTCATCTTTATCACTTTCAGAGGTCTTGCGCCCACGCTGCTGCTCGGCAGCTCGTCGCCACATCACTACATGCGGATTGTGCCCCCGCCGCTCCGGTAGGGATATATTTAACTCTCGCGCTGGCCGTAATCAGCCGCAACGCTTGATGGCCTTGTTAAGGAGCCTTGATGATGCGCATTAGGGGGCTTTTGACGCTTTTACCGCTACGAAAAGTTTGCGTTTCGAAGTTATCTCTTCATCCCGAAAAGCCTATTCATACGTGCTAAAATATCGCACGGGCCAAATTTATTCAAATTAATCCAGTGCGGGTGTTAAATTATTTCACGGAAGTAGGTGTGTTTTGTTGCCACAAAAGCAAGATTTTCAACGCTCTCAAATATCTTTATGTGATCAACGTTTTCCTTCATTTCCAGGGCGGTTAAAATCGTCGTGTTCACAGCATTGATAAGCATTTATCTCCGGAGTCAAAGTGCATCGGTAATCGCCGTTGGCCGACGAGTCGACGCTATCACTATCACAATCGGCGCGACAATAAATCGAAGCAAAGCTTGATAGTTGCGAC